AAAGTCAAGCTCAACAGGGTCTTCTTTCCCCGCCGATTCTTCCAAGCCCGTTCCCTTGGCTGTGGTTTCGTAGGATGGTAGATAGGGACAGTGGGAATCTCGTTAATCCATTCATGCGCGTCACTAATTAGATGACGAGGCATTTGGCTACCTTAAGAGAGTCATAGTTACTCCCGCCGTTTACCCGCGCTTGGTTGAATCTCTTCACTTTGACATTCAGAGCACTGGGCAGAAATCACATTGCGACAACATCCGTTGGGACCATCACAATGCTTTGTTTTAATTAAGCAGTCGGATTCCCCTTGTCCGCACCAGTTCTGAGTCGGCAGTTTGATGCTTAGGGAGAGTCCCACGGCCCCACCTGAACAGTGGAGACATAAGACATTCTATGCCCGTTAACACACTGGCACGAGGGCTCCGCCCTCGCCGCGAGAGCAGCTCGGGCAGACCACCAGCAGCCAACGACATCGAGGCACAGACCCCTAGGCCCAGCCCTCAGATCCAATCCTTTTCCCAAAGTTCATATCCATATTGCGGACGTCCCTTACCTACATTCTTCCTTTGACCAGAGGCTGCTCACCTAGGAGACCTGGTGCGGTTATGAGTACGGCCGAGCGTGAGAGGTACCCGCCGCTCCAGATTTTCAAGGGCCTTCGGGGGCGTGCTGGACACCACAGGACGCGCGGTGCTTTGCCAGGCGTTGCACTCTATCTCCGGTTGATCCGATTCCAAGGCGGGCGAGCCGCCAAGAAGGAAAGAGAACCCTCCCCAYGGCCCCCGCCGGCATCTCCGGAGCTGCTTACGTCACCTCCACAACCCGGTTCGGGAATATTAACCCGACCCCCTTTCGATGTGTGGCGCGCAGTGCGCCCTTGATACAAGGTTTCCAAATCACTTAGGGCCGAATGTCATGACCTATGTCCAAGCGCTGTTCCCATGTAACCTTTCTCCACTTCGGTTTTCAAAGCTCTCATTTGAATATTTGCTACTACCACCAAGATCTGCACTGGGACCAGCTTCACCTAGGCTCACGCTCCAGGCTTCGCAGCAGGCCCCACACCCTCCTACTCATCGCAGCGTCAGAATCGCCGCGACAGCCGAGCAAAGGTTGCGCGCTTCAGCACCATCCATTTTCGGGGCTGATTGATTCGGCAGGTGAGTTGTTACACACTCCTTAGCGGATTTCGACTTCCATGACCACCGTCCTGCTGTCTGTATCAATCAACACCCTTTGTGGTGTTTGGGTTAGNACTTCCATGACCACCGTCCTGCTGTCTGTATCAATCAACACCCTTTGTGCTGTCTGGGTCAGCGCGCAGTTTGGCACCGTAGCTCGACTTTCGGTTCATCCCGCATCGCCAGTTCTRCTTACCAAAAATGGCCCACTTGGAGCTTTCATTGATCCTCGTGGTTCACTTAAGCAACCCCAAAATCTTGCCTATTTAAAGTTTGAGAATAGGTCGAGGGTGTTTCACCCCCGAGGCCTCTAATCATTCTCTTTACTCGATAAAACTGTTCAACAGCTCCAGTTATCCTGAGGGAAACTTCAGAGGGAACCAGCTACTAGACGGTTCGATTAGTCTTTCGCCCCTATACCCAAGTCCGACGAACGATTTGCACGTCAGTGTCGCTGCGAACCTCCACCAGAGTTTCCTCTCGCCTCGCCCTGCTCAGGCATAGTTCACCTCTTTCGGGTCCCAACGGGCATGCTTACACTCAAACCTCTCACAAAAGATCGTGGTTGGCGGACGGTGCACCCGCAGAGGGTTCCCGCCACTCAGATTTCTTCCGCCTCGTGGGCTAACCACCCACCGGCTCGCATGCACATTGAACTCCTCGGTCCGTGTTTCAAGACCGGCAGGATAGAGGAATTTCGCCAGCATCCCGAACACGCAAGAACCCGAACGAGCCCGCTGAAAGAGGCGCGTGCTCAAGGTCCTCGACTGCCGTGGCGGCCACCCGTGGGGGGTTTCAATCGCTCCCCACCGCAATGCCGGTCAAAACAGCCCCTGCTCGTAGGCACTCCACGTCCAACAAGGGGGGCAACAACACAGTCGTTGACCACCCTTGCCCAGACGGGAGCGCACGACTTCCCCTCCATCCGCTTCTCGCTCGACAATTTCAAGCACTCTTTAACTCTCTTTTCATCCTTCCCTCGCGGTATTTTTTCGCTATCGGTCCCTCGCACATATTTAGCCTTGGATGGGACTTACCACCCAATTGGTGCTGCATTCCCAAGCAACCCGACTCTTGGACAACACCTCGTTGCGCAGCAGGGTCCGGCGGTCCACGGGGCTGTCACCCTCTTCGGCGTCCCCTTGCGGGGAACCTGCACACGACCCACTACAGAGGTTGCCTCTCAAGACTACAATTCAGGGAGCAACAGAGCCCCCGGATTTTCAGTCTGGGCTATTCCCGGTTCGCTTGCCGCTACCAAGGGATTCCTCATTGGTTTCTCTTCCTCCTCTTAGTTATATGCTTCAATTGGGCGGGTGCTCCCCCCCGAGCTAAGATCAAAAGGCAAGGCCCTACATACCTCCACAGCTCGAGGCCGAGACCCCCAACCGCAAGCCCACCTCAAGCCGATGGGAGCGAACGGAAGGCGGGGACCACACAAACCAGAGGGATGCCCTTACGTGCCCTTTTTCAGGGAAACGAAGACCAACACCCACAAACGGGTGTTGGAGGGCAACAACAGGGCGGAGCGAAACACACCACTCTCGGCTGCAGCCCCGACAGGCCCGCTCGGAATGCTCTCCAATTCCCTTCCACTTTAGGCTATCGACGCTCTCCAAGTGGGAAGCGAGGGAAGCCACGACCACGGACCCCACCACTCCTCGAAACGGAAGGTGCTGAGGTCGTGAGGAATCCAATGATGCTCAGGCGGGCGTGCCCTCGGCAGAAGCCTTGGGCGCAATGTGCGTTCAAGGTATCGATGGCTCATGAATTTCTGCAATTCACATTCAGTATCGCATTTCGCTGCGCTCTTCATCGTTGCGAGGGCCAAGATATTCGTTTCCCGAGAGTTCTACAATATGGTGCCGTTCTGACAGGACCGACCCCTCAACCAGAACAGAAGGGGGCCGTCAACCCGGTCAGCGACAAATCAGAGTAGGTACATCAATAAGAAGTTGCAAAGCCGTCGCCACCAGCCGCTGCCACGGGCCCGCCCGACCCCCCGTTCGGAGGGCCAGGCAGGGCACCGGGGAGCAGCGGGGCAACGAGGGTGCAAGCGCTGTCTCCTCCCCCCCCCACCCGACACCTCCCAGTTCACGACCAAAACCGTCCCCCAACGGCCCTCCACCCCGAGATCCAGACCACCTCGAGGACGCCGATCGGTCCGGAAAGGAGAACCCCGTTGGGAAGGAAGCCAGGACGAAACGGGAATGGGCGAAGGACCCCGCAACACACCCCGCCCCGAGCCCCTACCACGACCCTCGATCCCCAAACAAGCCACAAGCTTCGCACGAAGCCGAGGTTGAGGCCGGGATGGAAAGGAGGTCTCGACAAAGCTGAGACGGGAACGAGCGGGGGCACGCAGGCCGAGGACAACCGCCACCACCCGACATCCCGCCCCTGACCCTCCCGCAGGGCTGTCCGTGCCCGGACCAACCGCCATCCCGACCAGAAGTCGAGAGTGGGGATGGGCCGAGGTAACAACCTGCGGAGGCGAGACGGGATGAAAGGGGAGCAACGCCACAAGGCCCCGGACCCTGCCCACTCCCCCCACCCTCGACCTACACCACGCCCCCCTCTGCACCGGGCCAGCCGGCAGCTGGGCACTAAGCCCAAGATGGTGCTGAAACGGAAGAGAAAAACGGATGCAGGAAAGATGGGGGCAACGGAAGAGAAATGCGGATGCAGGGAGGATGGGGGCAAAGGGCGGTGGAAGGGCGAGCAAGCCAGCGTCCCACACCTCGAAGATCGGTCGTTCACGTGTCAATGATCCTTCCGCAGGTTCACCTACGGAAACCTTGTTACGACTTCTCCTTCCTCTAAATAATAAGGTTCCATGAACTTCTCACAGCACCCCCAGCGGCACACCGCCGAGATCACCGCAATCCAGACACTTCACCGGACCATTCAATCGGTAGGAGCGACGGGTGGTGTGTACAAAGGCCAGGAACGTAATCAGTGCGAACAGATGACTCGCACTTACTAGGCATTCCTCGTTCATCGATAATTACAACAATCTATCCCCGTCACGATGAACCTTAAGAAGGTTACCCGGGCCTTTCGACCCAGGCAAGCGACTCGTTGGATTCATCAGTGTAGCACGCGTGTGGCCCAGAACATCTAAGGGCATCACATACCGGTTATTGCCTGAAACTTCCGTTGGCTAGTCGTCCAACAGTCTCTCTAAGAAGCTGGCCACGAGGAAAGGTCCCCGCGTAGCTATTCAGCAGGCTGAGGTCTCGTTCGTTAACGRAATTAACCAGACAAATCACTCCACCAACTAAGAACGGTCATGCACCATCACCCATAGGATCAAGAAAGAGCTCTCAATCYGTCAATCCTTGCTATGTCTGGACCTGGTGAGGTTCCCCGTGTTGAGTCTAATGAAGATGCAGGCTCCACGCCTGGTGGTGCCCTTCCGTCAATTCCTTTAAGTTTCAGCCTTGCGACCATACTCCCCCGGAAACCTGTAAACTTTGATTTCTCACAAGGTGCTGGCAGAGTCATCCAATAGACATCCGCCAATCCCTAGTTGGCATCGTTTATGGTTGATACTATGACGGTATTTGATCGTCTTCGATCCCCCAACTTTCGTTCTTGATTAATGAGAACGTCCTTGGCAAATGCTTTCGCAGAAGTTCGTCATCCATAAATCCAAGAATTTCAACTCTGACAATGGAGTACGAATGCCCCCGACCATCTCTATTAATCATTACTCCAATCCCGAAGACCAACGAAATAGGACCAGAGTCCTATCGCGTTATTCCATGCTAATATGTTCAGAGCACAGGCCTGCTTTGAACACTCTAATTTTTTCAAAGTAACAATGCCAACTCTGGATCCCAACCACTAAAGGCAAGGAACGAATACCCGGCAAGAAAGGCGAAAGGGCCGGTACACACCCGCAAGAGCGGACCAACCCCTCCCACCCAAAATCCAACTACGAGCTTTTTAACTGCAACAACTTAAATATACACTATTGGAGCTGGAATTACCGCGGCTGCTGGCACCAGACTTTCCCTCCAATGGATCCTCATTCAAGGAGTTTATGACTGTTCTCATTCTAATTACCGGACTCGAAAGAGCCCTGTATTGTTATTTATTGTCAGTACCTCCCCTATGTCAGGATTGTGTAATTCATGCGCCTTCTACCTTCCTATGATGTGGTAGCCATTT